ACATACATGTTTTTGTTTCTGCATTGCCTTTTGGCTGACTTTTTGTTGGTGATGCCAGCATGATTTGAAGTGAGCATGCAAGGCAGCAGAGGGCGGCATTACTCCTCCTGTGCTACGCTCTGAGAAGAAATCAGAATTAAAAAGCAAGGGAAAAAGAGAAGAATGTGGAGAATGCTGCGCCTGCCAGAGCTGCAGGCCATGTAAGGGAACAGAGCAGGGCCAGTACCCACCGAGTGGGGTGAGGGCATGCGGTGCTACGTCATGCCCAAGTCATGGGCTGAAGGCTGTTGTTGTACTGATAGCCATGGCTTTTACGCCAAAAGAAATAAAAAGAGAAAGAGCAGGTTTTACAGAAAAGACATTTGTTTGTCTGCAAAGGAGATTTTTGAAACTGGTTGCGAGTTTTCATTTTTGTAGCAGAGCAGATGCGGAATATGTTTTCTGTGCCACACCGCGAGTTTTTATGCTGCGTTCCAGTATTGACCCCTTCTATTCTAACAGCATGAGAAATGCTCACAGCATGTCAGACGGTTTGTAGACTGAGCTTTGCACAGACAGATTGCATATATTAAGGTTATTTGGATTAAGCCATGCAAGTAAAAGAATGGGTGAACAAAATTCAGCAGAAATTCCTTTTAACAGGAGGCTGTAAGAGATTGTGACCGAAGTTAGAATTGCTTTTTAGGGCACAGAGAAGTAGCCTCCAAATGCATGTTGCCTTTGCAGCCTCACTGCTTACAAAAGATTTTTACTGCCAGATTTGAAGGATCAAACAACATTGCTGTGAGTCAACAACATTGCTGTTCTCCACCTGGATCAAAAATTAGGAGGTAGTTGAGAAGAGTTCCAGTAGTGAAGCTTCCCAGTGTGTTTCATGGTGGAGAGGAGTTGCAAAGGTGAAGCTTCCCAGCATATTTCAACACAGGTTTTAGTTCTGCACAAGATAGCAGGTAAGGACCAAGCAGAACAAGGAGATGGAGTGAGAAGAGGGCTGGGAGTCCCTGGGCTTTCCTAGCTCGTTTGCCCATCGTATGCACAGAAGTGGTCATGGGGTTGATCTGATTTGGAACAGGACTTGCACTCTAGAGAAAAGTTCTGCCCATCCCCTGATGTACCCAACGCAGCAAGACAGTCATCAAAAGATGTTGGCAATGTGTAGGAAATCAAGCGTTGGTGGCCTCTAATGCTCTGATGAGTAGAGCAATCAGTTTGAGCAAACTGACAGAGAGGATGCTGTGAGCAAAACATTTTTTTACACAGTTAGAGAGCCTAACCTGATGAAGTTTTCCCAAGCATGAATAAGAAATAGGTGTAGAAGTCAATGAAGCGCTGAAAAACCTTTGTGAAACCCAATGTGAGCCCCTGCTCACATCTGCCTGAATGATTCACAGACATTTCCTTGGTATCCTAATGAGCTGGGTCCTCTGTGGGATACTGCCATTTATTTGGAGCCGTAAATGGCCACGAGCATCGACTTGGAGCACAAAGCTTTTTTGGAAATGTATTCTGCAAGAGAGGGTTTAGCACTGCTGAGAGTTGTGGACATAAACAGTTTCAGAGACGTGAATAACAGTCTGGTATTTTGGTAAAATATGCCTCACTGCTCAGGATGTGTTGGTGTCAGAGAAAGACTCGAAAATAAATTCTGGGATGAATCCACTTCTAGAAAGGCAGACAACTTTAAGTGCAACTTAATTTATCTATAAGGAACAGCAATCTGTCCAGTTACATAAAATACAGGTTTAAAATGTGTTTGTTTTTTTTTTTTGTGTGTGTGCTTATTGTTATAAATACCTGAAACATTCAAATGACATTTTATAATAAGCAGAAGAATTAATTTGATTCCAAAAAGAGACAATGCAGTTGTTCACAATGCATCCGTCATAAAATAGTGATAACGCACTGGCTATTTTCATACTGGTCACAGTGCAATCCATGTTTATTTCTAACCCAGTTTTGAATATAAATGAATTGTTTTGAAGGCTGGATAGATCAGCACAATGCGCCAAGGCAATTATGGCAGGTGACTGGCACAATACTGGCTACAGGAGATAAGAAACGCTGCTGGGTTGGGAAGGGTGAGGAGAGGCAGTGCCCAGGGCTGCCAGGGCTTTGCCACTGTTACAGCTGGGAGCTAAGAAACAGCATCAGGCAGCCTCAAAATCGTACGGTAGGATGAGCCACTATGGACTAAAATAATAATAGCCGGGGAGGGGGGGCAAGCAAGTCTGTCACTGCTTATGCCTTTCTGAGTGCTTTGATTTTGACTTGTGATGAAAAAAATCAGCAAAAAGATGATGGAGGGATGAAGCGGTGGAGGATGTGGAAGGATGCTAAAAGCTGGTGACTCTAGCTGAGTTTTTGTGGCGTTTTATAAGTATACCAAACATCTCAGGATGACTAAAAGGCAAACGTTGCTTTTGATCAACCCTAGTTTTTACCAGCATGCTGCTGAATACCAATGCAAAAATCACTGCTCCTAAACATACCAGGAGATGCTGTTACTGCTAGTCAGAGCGCTGTGCAGCGTGTGCACAGAGAGGAAGGTATGATCCCACACTGAAAAGTTAGCAGAGCAGGGGTGTGAATTCAGAAGGATGGGGTCTGACCCCAGATGCCCCGCTGAGCACCTGATTGCTGGGATCACACAGAACAGCACGGTCAGACCCACATTCTGTATACGTGCCTTTCCAGAGCAGTGTAATGCAAAGGTGTCATAGGGCATACGTTGGGCAGCTGGAGGGTTTCTGGCTAGGGAATAGCAATGATTGAATGGTCACGGGCCATTTCAAAGCAGCAGCAGCTCCGATGCTCGGTTTCTACCTCCCTGCAAAGGCTGCAGCTTTCTCTGGCTCACAGATGTGAGGTATAAGGATCAGAGTGAATCTGCTTTGCCAACTGTCAGTGTTTTCTATGAACTTCTCCTCCTTGATATCCTGGATATCAGGGCTCCAAGACCTGATCCAAGATCCAAGATCTTTTTCCCTGCACTTTGTTTAATTGGTCCCTTGGATCATTTGCTGGTAGCTTAAGACTGAAAGCAAGAAAACAACATTGCCAGGGCTCTCCTTGCCTAAATGCTGCTTTTGCTCTACATAGTAAGTACACTGGGTCTGCTGAGAAAAGCAGAGGCATAGACAGCGTTTAATTGTAACGACTGCAAAGCACCACCAAGTATTTATTTTGGTGGTTTTCAGAACAAGTTGCTATTTAACATGAGCTTAACACAAGATTTCTTAAGGAAGCTGAATCATTTTGAAGCTTAACCCAGCCTGTAGTGAAATATGCCTAGGTCTGGCCTTGGCAGGTGGGGAAAAACCTGCTGGAGCTGTTCAGGGAGTGGAGAGACAGAGGTCCTCACTTGCTGTCTATAGTCTCAAGTGTGTGTGAAAATGTGTTTGCTTTCTCCTGGAGAAAGCTCACTTCCAAAGGCTTCATCTAAGGAGGTGCTACCTGGTATCCTCTCCTACCTCACAGGGACCTGTGAGTGGCACTGAAGGAAGGGGAGGGAGACCCACCACCACAGGCATCTGATGGGGCAAGCTGTTGAAAATCCAGCCTTCTTTGCCATCGTGTGTTACAGAGACACTTTTCAGCCAAAGCATGCCAGATGCTGAGTCTGTGGTTTCTGGAGACACATAGGCTGGGAAGGTGTGAGCAGGGAACATAGCTGAGAGAAGGAAGCCAGAGGAACTTGTTGTTCCAATGGAAGAGGCTTTGTATTGTGTTGAATAATTGGGAATAATTGATTTTGTCACATAGGCATAAAGCTGGTGTTCCTCCTATAAATGGTGCTCTATTGTTTCGGCTCTACAACCCACCTGGCTGTGACACTGAAAAACAAGGATCGAAGAATTATGCCCTATCTTTCCAGTACATCCTTTGCCCATGAAGAACAGGAGACTTGAATTTTAGGTCTGATTGTGGCACCCACGTGTGTGTGTGAAAAGGGAGGGAGGGCTGAAACTGCCCTATTGTATTGCATGGGTAATTCTGTGTGGTTTTACACTTATCAGGGACCATCAATTTGCTTTGCATGACACCAGCATTCATTTCTGCATTATTAAGTATGCCCCTAATGTGATATAAAAAGCTAAATGTTTTACCAATTACCATACAGCACATTATTATTCCTTCTTGTCTTTGCAGCATGCCTTTTTTTGTTACCATTATTAAACCTTGGGGTATTTTTCTCATGCACTTTATTTGCTCCAAATGATCCTTATACTGGGAAGATTTCCTATGGCAGTCTGGAGCAGTTGTACTCTCCTTACAAGAGCTTCTTCTTAGTGCTTCTTACTGATAATGGAAAAAATCTACATACTAAAGAAAAAAAAACCAACAACCTTGAGATAATCCATTTGATGTGTTACTTCCAGCCTTTAGGACTCAATGGGGTTTAAGAGAGAGCACTGGCTGGAAGAATTCCCAGCCCTGGGTCTCTCCATCCTTGTGGTGGGGAGGGACAAGCGGGTCCAGGTCTCACTTTCAAAGGCTCCAGAAATGAGGAATGTCCAATGCCAGGAGAAAGCGGGGCTTATTTTCAGAGAGAAGTGGGGCTGAAGTACTTTCCAAATATTACCAGCTCCTGCTCCATAGTCTTAGCAAGGCTGCTTTGATGCAGTAGGTCCAATTTCATCATCATCCTTCAGAGCTGAACTATTTCCCAGCCCTCCCCTTCAAATCTGCAGGACCAGAAGGAGGTGCTGGAGGCAACTTGTTTGGAGCAGAAAGTGAAAAGAATGGTCAACTGTCCTGGTAACGTGGGAAGGTAAAAAGGAGGAGCTTGTTCACAGATGGAGCTGTACCCATTGCTGTTGAACACCATCCCCCTCCTCACTCTATGCTAAATGTAAGGGAGATTATATAACCTTGGCTGACCAATAGATGAGTTTTATGCATGTGTTTTGCATATATGTGCTGCTCTCTTCTAGGTGGTCTTGTATTTTTGCTTCTTCACATCAGAAAGGTGTTACCCCCTGGGAATGCATTTACCTCTTTCCCATGGGTCTCGCACCTTGCCCAAAGTCCTGGCCAACATCATAAAACCCAAGTAGTTCCACTCTCTTCTGCAGGCTGAGCTGCTCCCTTGGATCCTTATGAAAGGGAGAAAGGAATGGCTTGTAGAAAAAAGACAAATAATCTTCTATGAGGAGAAAGAGGTTTATGTATGTGCTCAGCAGTGCATCATTAGCTTCTTCTTATGCACTGCCCTGGCCACAGTAGCAAGGTGGCGTTTGCCTGCTAGCCATCCTGTATGCTACTTGAGCCTGTCATAGTGAGCCTGGGAGGTGCTTGCAGAGTGGGGAGCTTTTTTGCTTGGAAAATGGCAGCTGAGTGGGTACATTTGATGGCAGATGATCCTTGAAAGTGAAAGCTATTAAAACTCAGGAGTTGTGCAGAAGGGAGTTACTGTGAGCACATCAAAGCCATTCTGGGGAGAGGCAGGAATGGCGCGGCTGTGCTTCGTGGGGCTGCCTGTGATTCCAATCAGCGAGCCATGCCGTAGTGTTTTGGGACAGGTAGATTGCAAATGCTCTATTTTTTTTTCTTCTTGGGCAAGGCAAGGCACAGCATTGCAACAGCCGGGTAGAAATACACGTTAGGATGATGACTACTCCCTTAACAAACTGCATGCAGCCTCACCCCGTTCTCCTGCAGCTGATCCAGTCTGTGCATTCCTGCCATTCTTCTCTGCAGAGCCATTTCTTTCCATTCAGAGGCTCAGGAAGACAAAGCAGCTGCTTGGAGAGCCTGTGATTTTTTGATGGGAACATGAAGTTGGGAGCACTGGGACAGGAAAATCTATTTTTCTTGGAGGGGGGTGGTAGCACCTACCTGAGGTGTTCTTTACCAAAAACAGGAAACCTGCTGCTGCTTTTGGGCGGCAGAGCTCAGCTGGCAGCTTAAGAAGATCTTTAGAGTGCTTCAGTCTCTGGTAACCAGGGAAGACCAGCCACAAGTTTACTGGTTATAGCCACAGATCTAAAATTGAGCCATACAGTCTCTCCTCTAGGTTTTATGCAAACTTGTCTTCCACCTGTAAACAAAGATCCCCTTTACATATACTTACATTCCGTGCCAGTTTTATTTCTCATAATTTCTCATGTTTTTCTCTGCATCCTTTCTTATCTCTGTAATGTTGTCTCAGTTGCAGGCTGTGTACCCCCAGTAAGAACTGAGCAGTGTGGCTTTAGTGCTTGTCATTGAGAAATTATACATGAGTTTCCCCTAGGGTTGTTGTTCTCTGGGAACCTGGTGGGCTTCAGCTAGCTGTATCGCATCTTCCTCGTCCGGGGGGCCACATCGCTTCTGGGGAGAGGAAAACAGTAAGACTGTAAGCACACTGGTTCCATGCTATTACATTTGTTTTATCACTGACTTCTAGTTTGCAGGCAGCACACACGCATCTTTCCAACACCAGTCATATTTAAAATGGAAATGTTCAGAAGATATTTGGTACTTTTGTTCCCAGTGAGTTATGGAAGGTTGCAATGGAGGGACTGTACAAAAAGCACTGCCTGAACTTAAAGCATGGCGGCAACCCATGAAAGCAGCCAGGGAACTTTGCTTTTGTGCCTGGCACATGAGTGTCAAGAAGAAGCATTCTGCATAACCTTTTTTATAAATTATTTTTGCATGTGCATCTTGCAAAATGGAGGTACCAAGTATGTTGGCCAACCTGCAGATCCCTACTCCAGGTTTCTGAGCAGAGCCCAGGCCCTTTCAAGCAGCAATGCTGGACAGGGAGTAGCTGCCATTCCTTCTCCATTTTTGTTTGATTTTTTAATTTTATAAGACCATCTTCAGGGTCAAAGCTGGAACTTTGGATACAACCAAGTGCTATGCGATGCCAAAAAGAGCAAAACAACTCCATAAACACTGTCTGGGTCTCTCTTGCTGCCTGCTCATGCCCTACAAGGAGGTTGGCATTGCCCGCTGCCACGTAGTTAAAATACACTGCAGAATCCATCCACGGCTGCATCCTTACTCTCTACTCCTCACACCAACCTCCTGGGAAGGAAACTGTGGCCCAGTCATGCTGCCTCAGGCAGGGCCCAGGCTCCGTCCAGCTGTGCTGCAGGGATTTTACCTGATTCCTCCCCGTGGTGCAGCGTTACCAGAAAGCCCAGCACAGTGTGCCCACGGCCCCTCTCTGAGGCCTGGGAGCAGTGCTGTCACGGTGCCCAGCTGTTCCCCCCGTGCACGGAGACAAACGGAGCCATTTGGTGCCAACGTGGCTCCTCGATTTCTTGTTTTTGTGTCACAGCCCCGCAAACGGCACGGCACGGGCAGAGCCTGGTGTGCAGCGGTGTCTCACTGCTGAGAAAAGGCTGGTGGGTTTGGGAAGGCAGAAGCCGGCACTTGTGGAAGCAGCGGGGCTATACGGAACCTGCTGCCCCGGCTTCAACTTATTTTAGCGCTCTGAGCCTCGCACGCCCCACCGTTCCAGCACGGCCGCTTGGCCGGTACCCCCACTGAAACAGCCAGGCTGAGCGGGAGCCGTGCCACCGGGAGCAGAAAGCCCCGGATTCACCAGTTATTAAAAAGGAAAAGTACGGCAGCGGGAGCGGGAGGGGAGGGCTTAGAGGTGAGCGCCCGCCGCGAGGCGGGGACCCGCCCAGCCGCTGCCGCCCCGGGGCCGGGCTCTCCGGGCGGCCTCCCCCCGCCAGCCGAGGCCGGGGAGGGGGGGCCCGCGGCGGGGGCTCTCCCCGCGGCCCCCGGAGCTGCCCCCGGCCCCGTCAGGCGGCACTGCC